GTGGCCAACCTCAGATACAGACCCTTTCCTCTTCAAGGATGGTTCCCGGGTAGACTGGAGATGGGTCTCTCTAAGCCCCAGCTGTCTCTCTCCACAGATACTTGGCCCTTACTAGACTGAACTTTGCCTGTGCCTCAGACCCAAGGCTCATTAGCCGAAATTCTAACTCCTAGTGTAACTGTATTTGCAGTAAGAAAGGAAGATTAGCTGAGGTTGTGAAGTTGAGACCCCAATACCAGACCTAGGGCCCTTATAAAAAGTCATGACAGAAGAGCTTGTGGCTATTCCTGTGTACCTCTCTCCCCACTTCACTACACACTCTGCGCATACCAAGGCAAGACAATGTAAGTTCATAGTGAGATGGAGCCATCTGCAAGCCAGGAAGGTAGTTCTGCAAGACAAGAAGACCTAACTGCCAGAGAAAGGCCTTAATTGCCCTAGTCAGTCAGTCAGTCAGTGAGTCAGTCAGTCTGTCTGTCAGTCATTCAGTTTGCATCACTTCCTTCAGCATCCTGAGCAGATTAACATGGACCTAAAAGTGAAAAGGATAGATGGGTCCAAGACTGGAAGGTGGCCAAAGGTGAAGCTAAGCTCTTGGCGGGACACTAACCAAGGAACTCGAAGGACTTCCACTCCTGGCTGGTGACCACCAAAGCCAAACACTAAGAGGCAGACCCACTGGGCACATTCTTGAGGCAGAGAGCGCCAGGTGTCAGCATCAGCATGGGTCTCCTGTGAACCTTGCTCTGTCGTGCATCCATACCTCTGTCAGGAGTCAGTGGCCTGAGGTTCAATCTTCTTTTGATCCCTATCTATGAGAGGCTGGCACACTTCAGAAAGATGTACAACTTCTTACATTCCTTTCTGTTTGAGGCACCCTGCTGATAGCTCCAGAGAAAAAGTAGTTTTTCTGTGAAAGCAGAAGAAGCCAGGAGTGCACAGTTCTCATGGTCATTGTGGGAGAGGCAAAGCCAGATGGTGCCAACTCTCTCTTACAAGCAGTCACCTGGACCGTAGAGTCACCCTTGTGAGCATGAGTCTTCCACTGCCTTTCACTGGAAGGCTGCCAGACTTGGTCACAAACCCAAGAAAGTTATCCTGCAGGTGTGACAGGCAAGTCAGGATCTCTGTGCTCTACCTGCTGTGACAATCTGGCAGGGTGTTTCCCTCTTGAAGTTTACACATATTCAACTACTTTCAGAATGGGGATAAAGAGTGGTGGGAAATGGCTGTGGTGATTGGAATGAGAATGAACCAGATTATATAGGCTCTATCTGAACACTTAGTCACTATTTGAAGGGATTAGAAGGATTAGAGACATGACCTTCTTGGAGGAAGGACTTGAGGCTTGTTGGGTGTGGGTTTTGAAGTTTCAAAAGTCCATACTAAGGCCAGAGTCTGTCTGTCTTTCTGTCTGTCTGTGTCATGTCTGTCTGTCTCTCCCTCTCTCTTTGTCTCTCCCCCTCTCTGCCTACAGATCTTAATGCAGCTCACAACTAATTCTTCAACACCTGCCTATGCATATTTGCAAGTTCCCGCCATGATGGTAATGGCCTACACCTCTGGAACTGTAATCAGACTTCCAATTAAGTGTTTTCTTTTATAAGAGTTGCTTTGGTCAGTCATGGACACTTGGATATGCCTTGACCTGTTTGTTCTCTTTTCCTGTAAATAAATCTTCAGTGATAGCTACGTTCTCAAGTATTAGCAGCATTAAGAGACAATGTGTGTGAAATGCAGCAGGTTGGACTGACACTAGCCCTCTGTGGGCACCTCTGTGCACAGGGAGACTCAGTTCAAAGTGGGCTCTGAGCCCCTTTGCAGCTACTCTGTTGAAAAGCTGTAACCGAGTGTGCAGACGAGACTGGAGGGATCTGACGTTCAGGGATCTAGGGAGCAGACAGCACATTTTTGTGAGGAATATGTCCTGCAAGGCTGCACAGCCCTCACCAACAGCTCTAGAGGAGCTGAGCCTACCAACAAGGGACATCCTGCCATCTGACGACTGTCAATAATGATTTTAGACTAACACATTCTTAACAACAGGAGCAGGTTTTTTCCTAAGATAGGACAGATGCATGAATCCTTCCCAAGACCATTACAAGTAATTTATTCATTGCTAATTCATCACTCTTACGTCATAGGAAGCATGTGTCACCTTTACAGTAAAGACATACACAGGTGAAAATTGGAACCCAAGGAGGAAGATAAATAAAAGGACCCAGCAGAAGCATCTCTCTTGCTATTATCTGTACTGAATGCCATTGATAAGGGATTAATGTGTATCAAATGCTAATTTTTTTTTCTGTTGAACTGTTTTTCCTGGAGATCTTGTTAGAGCAAACATGTAGCAGCCTCCCAGCAGGGCCAAGAAAGGCGCCTCCAGCTTTAATCCCAGCCTGAGTGGCACCCACAAAAACTCTAAATAATTTAACAAAAGACTAACCTTCTATCAGCGCAGGAGTGACATACACACAGAAGCAGTCTTCAAACAGGTGAGGAGCCACCCCAGGCGGACAGTCTCCCCAGCCTCCCTCCCCCTACCAGGGATGCTCTCCCACCTCCTCCCACCCCACTGCTTTCTATCAGAAAACATCAATCCCACCAGTTTTAGGGTCCCCCATTAGGCGTTTATTTATAATTAAAATATTAAGGACATTGAAAGAGAAAGTGGAGTCAAAGAAGGAAAACAGTGTCTGGGACTCCCTTGCCTTCCTCCACTAGGGGACGGGGGGAGGGGGGGTTGGGTAGGTCACAGGCAAGCAGGCAAGCCTCAGGCAGCATCAGGAGTGCAACAGTGTGGAAGAGGTTCTAGGTTAGAACCAGAGATACCTTGTGTCCCCTAGGCGAGGCTTGAGTTCGCTGACTGGCAAAGTTCTTTGGAACATGGGGTGTGTCGGGGAGGAGGCCAACAAAGACATGTGATGCCTGCCCTCCTAGGGTCTATGAACGATGGAGTGTGGAGGAAAGCCACGGCATCAAAAGAGGGCAGGCACAGGGGCCTCATCTCTGAATGAAATGTAAAAAAAAAAAAAAAAGAAAAAAGAAAACATGGTGGGGCAGGGAGCAGGGCACAAATGACGCTTGAGGAAAAAGCCAAAGCAGACCTCATAGAGAAGGGAGCCTGGGAAGGACTAGAGGGAGCAGAGAGTCACTTCTGCCCCAGGTGGCCCTTTCTGCATGACCCCTTGTTCCCACTTGAGGATGGCTCACTGCCTTGGTGAGAAAGGCAAGAAGAGGTAGCCACTCTGCCACCAATGAGCCTTTCCCTTATTATTTTTAAAGGCACTATTGTCTTGCCTAATAACTTCAAAACACTTATAGAAATATAAGAAAGTCTGAAGTTTATGAAAACAAACGGAAGGTTTATAAAATCGCACTTAGGAAAGCAGCCCGTTCTGTGTAATAACAGGGACACTAGCTTGGTATATCCAATATTGTTTGGACAGGCTTCAATTCTATTTTTAGGAGATTTCAATTTCCTTTCCCATAAACCCTATGAAATATAGCGTGTGGCATATTTATAGTGACCCTTTTAGGGAGTGCTATACTTTTGGACCCTCTAATAAGCCTAAATGAGATAGTCTCCCCCTCACCTCACTGAGCAAATAAATAGATGGCCATGACAGTCATGGATTAGACTGAGATTATCCTTGCCCCCGTTTAACGCCCTCATACCCTCCCGTCCCCCTAACAAAGGCTCTCCAAAGAGGGGACTGAGAAGTAAAAGGCAAAACTCAAGGCCATCTGGTGGTTCCATTCAATCCATTTTGCTGACAAGACTTATAAATAAGGAAGCATAATTCCCGAAGGCAATCGTGAAATTTGCTATGCAAACGACAACCCCGAGCTCCCACTGGCCCTTTCTCCTCCTGGTATCCGTGTGGGACCTCCTCCAGCCCTGGCCATTTTACAGCACTGGGTGTTTTCCAAAGCACTCTGCAAAAATTAACCAATTTATTCTCAGGGAGAGAAAGTAGCGTTGCGGCCTTTACGTGAAGCTAGCCACTCGGAGCTTTTCCACGTGGGACAAAGGTGATGCAGCCTGACTCCCTCTGTTGGTATATATTTAGTGCCATCCCCTTGCATCTTTCTGGATCCTTCTTCCACTTCTTAGGAAGCAACTGTGAAGAAGAGAGAGGCATTCCACATTCTCCACAGGAACAGAAGCAGTATATCCCTGATAGGAGGAAGGGCTGAAGCCAAAGCCCTGGAAGGAAGCAGGGGCTGGTTGGAGGAGCTTGCCCTGACTGTGCCCTCTGGGACACAGTTTTAGTATTCAGTCAATCTCTGGGCACATCACACGCACTGATTTCCTCCTATCTCGTGTGTTCTACAACGCACAGGGATTTACTCTTCATAGACTTCTTATCTTGATGTTAGGGTATCTCTGCCACTTGGTTTCCTTTTGAATATCTTCCCCATTCATGGCACAGGGGGGACACTTCAGCACTCACAGATCCAATGTCCCTGCTTGGCACATAAGGAGTGAGTACAGGTAACATGAGCCTGCATTTTGACAGAGATAGCCGTCCAAGCAACTAAGTCACATACATCTGTTAGACCCGCAGTTATAATGTCAGCTGTGGGCACTTGAGGATCTTTGAAGTGATCCTGAGAGATCATTGGAGTGGCAAATGGGAAAACCTGACTGACAGGATCCTTCTAGGAACCACCCTCCTGAGGAGCTGAGAATGTGGGAACTCAGAGCAAAGGGGCAAGGAAAACAAGCAACCTCTTTCGTCAGCCACGAGGATGAGCCTCCAAGAGCGACTGATATTCTTGGGGTATGCAGACTGTGCTCCTTCAGGGACACTGTCATGTGATCAGTAGAGCAGGGTTAAGGGTTAAGCTCAGGTGACCCAAATCTCAGTGGGAGCCCCGAAACCTCAAAGACAGATGGTTTCAGTCACTTGCTTTTCTAGAGAAGCAGAATAACATGATACTACGGGAGATGAGGGAGCAGAGTGCCGGACTGCACCCCCAAAATCCTACCGTAAACTGCCAGTCACTGAGAAGTCCTGCAGAAGAAACAGGTTGGCTGGGTTTGCTCCAGCGGTTTCCATTCTGTCAGTCTCAAGTCATCCATCACGGCCTTCCTGAGCCACAGGGTGTCTGGGAGGTGCCGCTGGTGTCGCATGCCCAGGGGTCAGGTGCATTCCAGGGAAGCTGTCTGTCGGTTAATGTGCCAGTGAGAGCTGTCAGCACCTTGCCATTTAGGATATGTGATACTTAATTACCCACCTCCTCTGTCTTCTCCACCAAGATTCTCAGAATAGAGGTTAGGGACAGAGAGATTCAGGGAGAAGCTGAGCTGACCTAGACCCTGGCTCTGGACCCTCACAAGTGCCTCGGGTGTACCCACGGTGCACCGCCCTTCACCATCATCACCCCAAGGATCCCCACACCCATGGAATGGTATCTGAGTTGTAGCTCATATTCCAGTTTGTTCAATTTCCCAGAACATTGGGCTGGGTGTGTAGCCAATTCCCTTCACCTTCAGTTCTCTCTTACTTATTGTCCTTCTTGGTCTTGACATTTTGGAATTGTCGCAGAAAAAAATCCTTAATATTTTATATCCATATGGGTTTTGTTTCCTGGTGATTAGACCCAGTTTAGCATTTTCATAAAAATTTTTGATGAAAAAAAAAACCTTCCTTCCTCCCTATCACCTTCTGATTTCTTCTGGCATCATGGGTTTCTCTGTGGCCACCTGATGACAGTCTGCACACAGGAGGGAGTCTGGACCCGGACTGGATGGTCCTCGATGCCGTACTGTGAAGAAACAAGAAGGAATGGGGGAGAGACGTCTGTGAGACAGGAGAGACGGCCAGTCGAGCGGAGATGCTGCAAGTCAACCATGCAGACAGTCTGCTACATATTTTCATAGGAAGGAACAACAAATACGTGCTTATAGTACTCAATTTCTGAAAAAAAAAGTATAAGAAAGACAACAGAAGCTTAAAAATCATTAATAAAGACAGGGATAGAAAGTAAGAAATGTAAGCTGAGGCTGGGATCCTGTAAGAATTCCCTGGGGCATGGTTGTACTTAACAATCTTGCAGGTATTTTCCACAGTTAAAATACAACCATGGGGCGTGTAACAGCAGCACGCTACTGACAGTGGAGAAAGGGGAAACTCTGTGCCTTGTTATTGAGGGATAAAAATGGTGCAGATATTTTAGAAAATGGCAAGGAGGTTTCTGAAAAATAAATAAAGAAATGAATCTACCACACAAGCCAGCAGCCATTGTCATGGTTGCATAACTGAATTGAATGAAATAGATGACTTCCGAGATGTCCGCACCCCATGGTCCCCGAATCTCTATTCACAGTGGTCAAGCTGTGGGTACAACCCAAGTGTCCATTGACAGCTAAACATTCTATCAGAACATTCCAGAATGGAAGAGAGGGAAACGCTGTCATAGGCAACAAAGTGGACAAACCTTGACCAGGCAAGGTTAAAAGAAACAAGGCACAGAAAGACAAAGATCCCAGGGTCTTATTTACATGAGGCATAAAAGAATAAAACCCCAAACAGACCCGATGTAGAGCGAATCCCACTCAAAAAATCACTAGGACAACAGGTCTTAAGTGTGCTCGTTCATGAATGGTGACCAAGGATTTACAGATGTCTACGTTCTGATTATCATCCCACAATACAGCCAACAATAGATCAAATAATCAAATAATTTCTACAATTCAATTTTCCCACGGTATCTCAATAAAGCAGGAAAAATTAAAATAAAAGGTTGAATTGAATTGTAATCACTCTCGGTAACCAGGACAATTGCTAACTGCGTTTTCAATACTTATCCTTACACCCAAAGATAGGAGTAACCCTCACCTCTCATCACAGAGGTCTCTTTCTGCAGCAGGTGGAGACCATTACAGAAAAATACATCTGGTCAAAATTCAGAAAACAGCTACATGGGGACCCTCGCCCCATTTGACAAGCCTGCAGTACAATCCCTTACCTAAGGTTTGGGAACACTGTAAATGCTAGGGTAGAAAGATGATGTGAACCAGAGGATGGGACCTCTGCCACAGAACTGACTTGTTGACAGGACAGGGAAGCTGCACCAGTGAAATTGCAGCGATGTGGTCACCTGAACAAGACCTGAATGATGACAACACCAGTTCACAGAACACTGTGGATGGGGAGATACCGCAGTCTCAACCTCTAAGTGAAGCCTCAAAAGCAGCTAAGGACTGTTGAGAGAGGTAGAGTTGGTCTTTCCCAGAAATCAGAATCTAATTGAGTATCTAATACCAGTGGTCAGTCTTAAAGTCATATGCATATGAGCAAAATTAAATGAAGTCATTAGACTTTATTTATATATTTATACATAGGTGTGTATAACAATAAGAAAAGTGAGAACCTACAGATTTGAGAAAGGGTACACTGAAGGAGTTGGAAAGAGAAGAGGGAATGGGGGCAAATTTCATAAATAAATTACTCATACATGAAAATAGGAAAGGCAAAAAGCCATAAGAAAAGAATCATCACACTATGTTTACCAAAATGTAGACACAGCTATTTTCCAGTTAATTGTCTATCTCCAGAGAAAAAGAAAACTGTCATGAATGATGGGCATGTCTATAATAAGGACATGGTGAGGGGATGCTGTCTATGGACCTCATAGCTGTCCTAGATGGGAAAACTCATTTGGAAGTTCACATGGTGTCAGTGTTATACAGATGCCCTGACTTCACACAGGCATGAGACAGAGAGAGACAGAGAGAGACAGAGACAGAGAGGAGGGGGAGGGAGGGAGGGAGGGAGGGAGGGAGGGAAGGAGAGACAGAGAGATAGAGAGAAGGAGGGAGGGAAGAAGAGAGAAAGAGACAGGGAGACAGGGAGAGAGACAGAGAGAGACAGGGAGGGAGGGAAGGACAAAGAGAGACAGAGAGAGTCAGAGAGGAGGGGGAGGGAGGGAGGGGAAAAGACAGAGAGACAGAGACATAGAGATATCGAGGGAGGGAAGGAGAGAGAGAGACAGAGAGATAAGGAGAGAGACAGAGGGAGGGATGGAAGGAGGGATGGAGGGAAGGACAGAGAGAAACAGAGACAGCGACAGACCAGACAGACAGAGAGAGAGACAGAGAGAGAGACAGAGAGAGAGAGAGAGAGAGAGAGAGAGAGAGAGAGAGAGAGAGAACTGTAGTTTAAGTTGTCTGGAAACCAGAATTACAGAGTTGCTTTTTCCCAACCATAGCCAAGGTGGAGCTCATGGATTGTGGTGTAGTGTGCACAATTCCCTAGCTCAGTGGAACGTGCTATGGCTTAGAGACCACAATAAAAGCACAGATGTGGGCACATGAGCCACCTCCAGGGCCTTGTCTTGTGCCTCTGTGATTCATGCCTCCCAAGGCGGCAATCCACTTAACAGGTCAGCCACATTAGACAGGGGGTATGCTTTGGTCTTGGAAAAGCCATATACCCTCGAAGTATAGTTAGCAACAGTTTTCTGAGCCAACTTGGTCTTCGGGCAGAAGGATTGTCCACAGCAGCTCCATACCCAGGGGCAGCGGGTACCACTGCTTCCAGCTCTGGACTAGAAGGGGCACACCGAGGAAAGCAAGGCTATATCTCACTTCCCTTTGTCCTAACACTTCATATTCTGTAACCACTGTGCAGCCTCCATGCATCCAAACGTCCCGGGAATGGCGTTTTATCTCGACAGATGTGGCTTACAGGCGTATAAGTGGCACCTACTGGGAATGTAATGGACTGATTTCCTGGGCTCTAAATCTTGACAAAGCGTTTCCTATGTGGATCCAGATGAAGACCACGAAGCGTGCAAACTCAGACATCTCCATCAGATATACAACAAGAGGCTTGTGCAGAAGGGCTCGACTATTCAGCCAGCATCTCTTCCCCTCTCTTGAGAATGAAGGCACTAGACCATGATGGTGTGGGTGGCATGTGGGATCCCCATTAGCCCTGAGTTCTAGCTAGAGTTTATGGAGAGTAAGATCCTAGGTGTGTGGCATATGCAATCTTCTGCGCTTTTATAATTATGGCAATATTTCATAAAAAGTAGGCTGTGTGATGCTGCCTCTGCGGAGATGTAGTGCAAGGGGGGAAAATGTGATTTCCAGACTTACACACACTGGAGTGCAAGGCTGAGTTCTGCCACCACCTTTATGGTACCTGAACCCACAGCAAGAAGCCAGGGTCCCCTCATCTCTCTTCTCTCCCTGCAAGCCACATGCTTTTTCACTTGCCTTGCAGAACTCTGAAAGAATGCACCAAGAGGGACATTAGAGGAAGATGTGTCTGCCATGTAAGAAGCTTTGGGCAATGCTACCACACACACACACACACGCATCTGGTAGAAAGAAAGCAAATAGGAATAGTCGGATGATAATGAAGGAGACTGGATAAGGGCACTGGTTGTACATCTCCAACACCAGTGTGCAGTCTTTGAATATTGTACCATGAAGCTGTGGTCTTCAGATGCACTGGACCATATTCATAGCTATGCTAGGACATGTATGCACAAGAGTCTCCCACATTGGTCGATGCCCACATGAAACTTCTCGCTCCCAGAAGCTTGGACTCTAGCAGCTTGAAGGTTCTGATGTGGAAATAGAGGAATACTTTAGGTATTTGTGTCTCTTAAATGCTATGACATGGGACGAACCACAAGGAATGCACAGATGCCTCAAATTAAGTTTCATCCTGTGACTTGGTCTTCATCCTCATCCCACACCTGACCTGTACCAAACCTGAATGCCCAACCCTCACTCGATCTGGGGTGGAGCTCAGCTATACTAATGACACATGTTACAGGGGGGGTGGGTCCTCAAAATTTCCCAAGCTTTTTAGCAAATTCCACCCCATAGCCATCACCCATTGTGCTGTGAATTGGGAATGTTACCCTCAGACTTACAGATATCACCCTAACTGCCAAGACTGAGGTAGGTGGTGGATGTGAAGTCACCACATCCACAGGGGCAGGAATCAAATCCTGCTGTAGGGCGGAAGTTTGCACGTGGATCTGGGAGTCCTCACCTGTAAGGCATAGGTGGAGGCCGTGTTCCGGAGCCTAGTCCTAGCTCCTCAGTTTTGCAGATTTGGGACTCAGAAGGTAAGCTGATGGGACCACAGTCCCTGGGAGATTGTGTCGGTCCCCAGATTGTAACAGCCCTGTTACTTCTTAACTTCATGTAATGGGGCAGGCTTTTCTCCCCAAGGCCTCTGGTCACTTTAAGATGCGTACCCATCATCAACAGAGCTGTAGGGCAGTCAGCCATATCCTGTCACCGTTGGCCATGCTGGACACCAGGGACTCAAGATTCCTGCCCTGAGCAGGTGCCACCTATGCACCCTTCTTTCCATTTTGTCCCTTTGATCCTTGCAGGATTTCTGAGACTCCCCTGGCTTGTAGAATTTCTGATAAATAATAGGTGAACAAAGACCAGGCTCAGTCCCAAAGTTCGGGAATAACTCAAGATCAACACATGTTCATTTTGTCTTTTTATACCCAGTCATCAGTACAAGGGCTAACACTGAACATCAGTTCTCTGAATGACAGAGTGCAAACGAGTATTTGGAGGGTCAAGTTCATCAGCAGCTGTCTGGATTACAAGAATAAAATCATTGCCAGTTTTGCTGGGCTAGAGCCCCTGGGATGGCTGTGAGGGTCTATGCTTAGGAATAGGGTCCATGTGGCTTCTGCGGGATCTCTGAAGAAAACACCGAGGCCATTGCATGAGGCTCTGTCCAGGCAGAGACAACTCCTCCTGTTGGTCAGAACAGCACTGTGACTAGGCAGAACTATCCAGAACACAAAGTTTCCATGTATACAGAAGGGGGAAAAATTAGTGGAATGTTTGACCATCCCCAAAATTAAGCTCATAAAATATTTTTAAACAAATAGCTCTGGTCTTAGTAGTTATTTACTGGATTTTATAGTCCAGTGTTAACCAAAGTCATAAAAATATAATGAGCTAGACTGTGCAGAAGTAGCCATGCTTTCAATGCTATTTCCCAGAATAGTAATGTGTGGTTTGCATGTTTGGTTGGGATTATCTGAATGGCCCAAAATATATGTTACAAATTGTTGCAGAAATCAGGATTAGCTACACAGAAAAAGAATGGGATACAGTGTGTCTCCTTCCCTCACTCATAATGCTACAGTGCTGACCCCAGCTGAAGGTTCAGTTGATAGAGTTGGCACCAGACAGAAGCCTTAATGCTCAAAGAGAAAATTTTTTCTGACACTCCTAGACCTTCCTGACCCTTGCTGCAGCCATTTCTGAGACACACTCCCTTGGAGGAAAGGTTCCTGTCCTCCCGAGATCTGTAGTGAAATGAGGGAAGCTCTAGAAATAG